TTTTCTTTTTCTTTACCCTTGTCTAGGTGTTTGGAGGAGTCAAAAGTATTTTTCTTTTCAAAAGTGTTTGGCTTGCCCTCTCTCTTGTAGTCAACCTTTGAGTAAGAAGATGAGTATGAGCTTGTTTTGTAATTCTTTCTCAAATTTTTTTGTTCAACCTTGATACAAAGTTGAACTATGTCATTCAAATCTCTATAAGGAAGAAGCTCAACCTTATCTCTTATCTCAAAAGTCAAACCACTCAAAAATCTAGCAATGGTAATATCTTCCTCCTCCCTAATGCCAGCCCTCAATAAGTATAACTCCATCGTTTGTCTATATTCTTCCACAGTCATGTTTCTCTGATGGAGTCTTTGGAGCTTATTGATAAGCTCCCTAGTGTAGTAAGAGGGAATATGCCTCCTTCTCAAGGCACTCCTTAATTCATTCCAATATTGAATTGGAGGATCATTATGGAGACGCCTATCCCTAACAAGGGATGTCCACCAATACATGGCATGACCTTGAAAGCTTAAGGTGGCTAGGGATACTTTTCTTTCTTCACTCACTTGATGGCAAGTGAAGATTTGTTCAACCTTCATCTCCCAATCAAGGTACCCCTCAACATCATCTTTGCCATGAAAATAAGGGAGATCTACCCTAGATTCCCTTGCCTTTGGGGTCCTATGAACTCTTCTAAGAGGTTGTTGGTAATGATCACCTAAGGCTAGGCTATCATCATGCATAGACTCTCCTAGGGTTGAACTATGAGCTTGGGAGCTATGTCTACTTCGGTGCTTATGGTGCAATTTTTCTTCTTTTTCCTTTAACAAACGAATTTTCTCCTCCAAAAGAGCAAGTTGAGCCTCTCTTTCAAGTTTTTCTTTGAGTCTTTGTTTAGACTCTTGCTCTTTCCAAATCTTGAGTGATCTTAATTCATGTGATACTTTGGCAATGTTATTGTAATCACTTGAATTAGTATCACTACGAGGAGTAGAAAATTCTTCCATTATAGGAGAAAGATTTATTTTTATGAAAGAATTTTTGAAAGCAATTTTTTTTACAAGGTTAAGACTAAGTACTTGGGGAACTAAGTATACAAATTGAACTTTGGAGGGAGGTGAGCTACTAAGAGCCACTTAATAACCAAGCCTCTTCAAGTAAAAATTACTAATCCCCCTTGTAGTTAATCTCCACCAAAAATCTTTTCAATGAAAATTATTTTTTTTTTGTGATTTTTGAGATAAGATAAACTAGACGAATTAAAGCACTAAAACAATTAAACTTGCAAGAAATCAAAAGCTATCTAAAACGTTTTGCTAAGGTGAGAGCTTGAGAGGTACCAAAGACCAATCAAGGACCACTCCCACCAAGTCTAACGAAAATTAAGAAACTAAGGAGACATGGTTGTGTACCAAAGACACACCCAAGACACTCCTAAAAATGGCCAATTACAAGGTAATTACAAACTGAACAGCAAAGTAAACAAGTGGCTTCAAGATAGGTCAAAAACAGCCACCAAAATTAGTGACCAATTTTGCAACAAAAATTCAAAGTAGTAAGGAAAATTTGGTCTCTAAATCCGTCACTAATACTCTTTTTTTTTTTTTTTTAATTCAATACAAAAAGTAAATGAACTCCAAAGGATCTCCACAGATGTATGTAAGTCCAGTAGCCAAAAATTTCCAGCAACAAGTGTTTGGTGTTTGAAATTTTAGTAGCCAAATCCGAGAGCACTTTTTGTCCCTTCCTCCTCCTTTTCTTAGTCCTCTTTTGATGACCCTTGTAGAACTAGCTTCTATGGAGATAGACTAGGTCAAAACTTAGGTCACATTTGAGTACCAAAAATGATCATAAACAGCCAAGAGATTTGAGAGTTAAAGAAGACAAGAGTAGAGTTTAGGAGAAGACAATATAGATGAACAATGAACAAATAATTGGCTAGGACAAGAAGGAATTAACCTAGATAGGATCTAGAATTGATTAATAAAACCAAAACACTCAAAATAGGTAAGCTGAAAAAATGTATACACAATAGGCAATGTAAAACCGAGAAGAACTTTTGAACAATTTCAACACAAATCTCCTTGTATGGCTTTTACTTTGAGCAATTAGGTTTAGCTATTTTTTTAATCACTTTGCTTTTGCATTTTTTTTTAAACTTTGTTCTATATATATTTTTTTTTATCTTAGGAGATGCCTTTTTCTTTTAAATGAGTTGCAAAACACACACTCTCGATCACACTTAGGTTAAAGCACAAAATCAGTTCAAATTTGAAATACAAATGGCAAGAAAATTAGGTCAAGATGTAATGTAAATGCAACATGCTTTTTTTACTTGCTTGTTTGTTTAGCACATGCACGATTTTGGCTCTAAAATTCAAATTTCAAATGAATCCTTAAACAAAATTTTTCAGCCAACAAATCTCACACAAGATCAAACTCACGGATAGGAAAAAAATTTCAAGACATTTTCTAGTATAGGAAACCTAAAAATCTAAGAAAACTACTAATGAACTAGTAGTAGTTTATGAACTCAAATTCAACAAAAATTATGAGCACACAAGACAATAAGGATCTCGGCCAAATCCAGAAAAATTTTCAAGATGCAAATGAAAATACAAGGTTAAACAAGCATAGCTAAGAATGATGAACAAGAAAAGAACTACACATTACTCCTAGACATGGATTCAAAAAAAATTGACTCAAACACACAATGACCGAATAAGATTTCAAATAAGACTCAAGCAAATTAAAAAGTTCATAGGCAGAAAATTCCTAGAAGGCATAAGAAATGGAGCATGATTCATGGAAGCAATTAATCATAAACGCATAGATGAATCATTCAAGCAACATGACAACTAGATCCATCAAATTTTAGGCACAAAATAGATCTAGGAAAGATGAAACTCAAAAAGTGACAAGAACACAAAAATGAACGAGATGAACAAGATGAACCACTGATCAAAAACTCAAAAGACAAGAATGAGAAGCTTATCTCTTGAAGACCGAAGCTCTAGATACCACTTGATGAGGTTCCACTTGTGGTGGCTCAAGAACACCTTCAAGTCCTTCTCGGTTCCTTGGAAGATTGGCAAGGAAGGAAGCTCCAAGAAGCACTAATGTGACCTAACCTTAACCAAGCCAAGTTCAGAAGAAGAGAAAGTTATCTAGCTCTACAAAGAGAGGAGCTCAAGGAGGGTAGAGGTAAGATAGAGTGGCTTTCGGAGGGAGAGAGTTCAATTGTGAGAAATCTCATGCATATATCCAAAAGTGCATACAATTCTCGGCCACTTAGAATATATAGGGAAAAATTAGGTTAAAGGCACCATGGGTTAGCCTAATGTTAAGTGAAACCATGGTATGGTTTACTTAACCATAGGCGCCCAAAATTTGAATTCAAAATTCAAATTTTGGAGCCAAACCCGAAACCACACCATGTGCACCTCATTTGGAATGTAATTTATCATCCATTTGAGTTGCATTTCGGTCACACCATGTGCATGTGTTGCACATGGCCGAAATGCATACCAAATATAAAGTTAATTACATTCTAATGCAAATACACATGTAACCCTAATTAAACCCTAAATTCAAATGACCATGAAATGAAATTCCTAGTCTAATGGCCGAAAATACAAGGCCTAAAAGAAATACAAAGCCCTAAGGCCCAACCCTACACTACTCCTACTCTACTTGGACTTGAGTCAAAACCCAACTAAACAATGTGATAGGCTTTCCTTGAGCTTGGGCCCACTCCTCTTGGATCCTCTTTGCCATAGCCCTAGTAGTTGGGCCCTTGGCCCATGGGCCTCCTCCATCAACTTTTGATCATTTGTGAGAAATTCTAATTGAGTTTTCTCTTCCAAAATTTCTTGGAGAAATTTTCTCCTTATGAATTTTTATCAAGGATTTTCTCCTTGTGGCAAGTTCTTCCTCTCTTGCTCATCTTCTTTAAGTGGCGCATCCATTTCTATTCCTCCTCCTCCATTTTCAATCTCTTTGAAGGATTTAAGTCAATCAAAGAATATTGGGAGCACATAGAAACTAGTTGAAGAGATTCTTTAATCATTTTCAAGCTAGATTCATCAACTCATTTGTTTAAATGTTTTTATAAAAAAAAAAACATTTTTATAATAAAATAAAAAATTTTACTTTCTTATATTATGTTTTTTATTTGTTTTTTTAAAATTATTTCTCTCTTTTAAGACGAAATTGAAAGTTACTTCTTCAAATATTTACTTTTTCAAAATGACTTTTCTTTTAGAAATACCTAGGAGAAATTGCATTGACCTCCCCTAAAGTTTGTCTAAATGACACAAATCACCTCTCTAATTTTTTAGAAACAAAGATCTCCCCTAATGTTAATTCTATTTAACTTCTTAAATTATAAATAAAACTAAAAAAATTTCCTAAATAAAAAATTATAAATCTTTAATATGCATGACTTTTCTTTTTCGTTCATTAATAGACTCTTTATTTGTTACAATCACTTATTTTTTTAATGTCTTTTTTAAGCAAGTGATTTTATGTTGTCTTCTTTTTTATTTATTCAATCAAAAATGTAGTTTCATAAATGATTCATAGTTGCTCTTTTGGTAGTTCTGATATTTAACAAAAGAATATTTTGTTGCAATTATAAAGTCACATCCTTAATTAATACATCTAGAGTTATTTAAGTTTCTTGAACTTAATTATGAGTGATCCATATATGGTTAATAAAAATATTTGGGACTTGAGGTAAAAATATAGTTTTAATATAAAAATTAAAAGTATTTAAAGCCAAAATTTTATGGAAAATTTAAAAAATAGCTAAAAGAAAATTCTGAAATAGTTTAATAATTTAAAATATTTAAAAACTATGTAGTAAATAATAAAGAAGTTCTTGTCGCGGAAAAAAAAATAAGTAAAAGATATTCTTACATTCAATAATAAGAATTTAGGTTCGGGGATTGATTTTACTCACCTTTTAAGAATGCATTGTCGCATTGATAAGTAGTATAAAGAAGCAGCCAAAAAGATAACAAAAGTTGCTATGTAGTTTACATAGAGTTGCTTTTGCTTCATCAAAGATACATCATTTTTTTACATTGTCGCATTATAAAAATGGATATTAAGCTAATCAAGTTTCTTTCAATTCATGTCAACCACAAAAGAAACTCAAAAAGTTAATATGAATTTATACTATTCTCAACAAGTTTTGTTGCAATACAAGCTAAAATCAGATGCAACAAGGCTACTTAGATCTTTTAGCCAAGGCAATTAGAAAGTCTCTGTAGTCACTAGATGGAAATCCTTCACGTATAGAATCAGCAAGTTCCTTCTCATACTTTTCCTTGAAAACCCTTCTAATTTCATCAATGTCTATCTCAGCCCTGCTAACCAATGCTCTTGCCAAAATTCTTGTGTCCCTTGTTACCCCTTTGATGCTTCTGTACAGTGTCTGCCATTATTAACCAGAATTATAACTTTTCAAATAATGTTCAATCCTTTCCTAAACTATATTTATTTATGAAGATTTGAAACAACAATTCAAGAAGGAATAATATATTTTTAATTTTGAACTTCTTGAACAACTTCTTTTTACTAGTTTTAGTCCCTAAATTTTTGTGAATTTTCACTTTTAATCTCTTAATTTTTTCTCCCATTAATATTTTAATCATCGTTCATGTAGAAAAAAATTTAGGAATTAAAATCAAATAAAATTTATTTAGAAACTAAAAATGAAAGTTAACAAAAGATGAATACTAAACATATTTAATCCTTTTAGGGAAAAAAAATACAAAAAAAAACAGCTCCTTTCCCCTAGTGTCAGTTGGCCCTGTGAAGGAGAAAGAAAAAAAAAATGGTACCTTTGCATAATAGAGTGCTGGATTACAAATACATTTCACAACCATCATTAGAGCTTTACTAAATTGGCCATATTTCCCTCCTTTTATAGACTGAAACACAGAGCATTGAAGACACAATAAATTTCAAAATCCTTCAAATAATGAAAATACATTGAATAGGATAAGATGGGGAGAGGACCAGTAGCATATTCTTTTATTGATGATACCTTTGTGTAGTCATGTCCATAAATGTGTTTATAACTACAAAAGGTTAGCTTCAGTTGGGGAATGCTCCTCTTGCTTAAAATCTCTAATACAACAGCTTCATCTACAGCTCCTAAGCTTCCCTCCCCAGTTTCATAGAGCCTCCTAGCATCACACTTAGATATGTGATGGTTGACATCTGCTTGGTGAGCTTTATGTGATGCAGCCAATGCCACAAGAATCTGCAAAATGCCAAAATCAAATCCATTTCTTTAAATCAAAAGAATTGACAATTCCCATAAAACAATAGTGATTCCTAATAGTGAAATGCTGGAAACACTTTGTCTACTGTCGGTTTAAAATCACAAATTTTAGCAGTTCTAATTAGTAATTCAAGAGAGATACTCTTAAATAAGGTGTAGAACTCAATTTATGATTTCACATACAGAGAGATTGTTATTAATGTTCCTCTTCCCAATGATATCTAACCTTTTGAAATGGGTGTGGAGGATCTAAATTGATAATATCTTGGTCCAACGGCCTTCTAAACATTTTCTGGTAGGCCTGTGTGATGAGAAGAACATGACTTGATTTTCTACCCACCAAAATTTCCACAAGAGCCTTGAAATTAGTCTCATGTTGTTGAAGAGCTTCTCTAGCAACAACAGCATCTCTGTCATGTGGGTCAAGCATCCACAAGGACAAAGCAGAACAGTTCATGGAAGAAGAAGAAGAGGAGAACACCTCTTCATATCTTTCAAAGTGTCTTATCAAGTCTTCTCCATACAATTCCTTAAAGGTCTCCCTTAGTTGTTGTCTTTCAAGGTGGGTTAAGCGAGCCAGAGATGGAATCAGTTGACTCATACCCCCCAAAGAATCATGAATTCTCTTGCAATCAAGTTCAAAGTTGTGGTTTGTCATTGTAAGAATGTTTTAAGTCATATGAGGAAAACAAAGGGAATGGTTGCTTTGGTTCAAGTAGATTGTCCACCAGACATGTATTTAAGCAAAAAACTACTTGAAGGGTAAGAAAAGAATCCTACTTTTTGACACCGTCCATTCCATGGTATTAGAATGTCGGTTACTAATAACACTCTTTGGACACACTCTCATCATTTTAAGTTAAGAAAGTAACATCTTCTTAAAACGTGATTTTTTTTAGCATAAATCAATTTTATAAAATTAATTTTAAAATGAGAATTATTTCTTATTTAAATAGATATTTCGGAGGACGTTTATTTTACGGATTAAGATATCATTTTTGAAAATATGAGCTTGAGAATGTATAATTTATATGTTTGTTACAAATTTTAAAAACATATTCCTAAATATCATTTATTTCTTGAAAAATAGTTATCTCATATTTAAAGCTATTTTGATTTACATGGTGAGGAAAAATTATATTTACATGAGAATGAGAAAAGTTATTTTCTAACTCATCCATAACTTTCATTCTAATTTTAATTTTTTAATTTAATTATTTTAAAATTGGGAATATTCTTAAAAATATTTAAATTTAACCAAACGTGTTTTAAACTATTTCTAAGAATATCATTAAGTGTAACAAACCTCCTTAGTATTATGTCTGGTCGATATGATACATATATTTTCTTAATACATGGAAAGAAAATTGGAAAAGGTGGACTCATCACTCACTAATTGTCATAGGGTAGGCTTCATAGAGATAACAAATAAATAAATAAATAAAAATAAAAAGTGAAGAGCAAGTGAAGTTTCTGTGCATTGAGTTGATGGTGATGTGTAACGCAAGTTGTACTTGTATGTGCGTGCCATGTGAAGTTTGTTTTGTAGCTGAAATTGTCGTTGGTTTCCAAGTAGACAATGAGTCCACCAAAACACCTTTCCAGAGACTTTTTCAGTAGTCCTTTGTTTCCCAACCCCAACTAACTACCATTGAATAATAATTTATTAGTCAATAAGAACAACTGCTTTTTCAGACTTCAGGAAAGCAACTTTTTAATGGGGTTATTTATTGTATGTTTATTATGGACACATAAAATTATTAGATACTTGAATTTTATGTTTTTATATATAATAAATATTTTCTAACAAAAAATATTTTCAGCTTCATATCATGTATTTACAAAGAAATTCTCTTTATTTAAAAACTACTCTTTTCATTTTAATTTTATTATTTAAAATTACAAATATCTTCTAAGGGAGAAAACCATGTTTGAGAAAAAAATAACTCCATTTTGATAAGTTATTTGTTATATATACACACACACACACATATATATATATATATATATATGTATATGTATGTATTTGTACACACACACTAAGAGATTTGAAAGATAAGGTCGAGGGCTCATCGATTTATACCGAGGATTAAATTAATTCATAAAGAGTACAAAGACTTTATTAAAGGTATGATTATTGATGGGTATTGTAATACCCCAGTTTTTATTTCATTTTTATTTTATTTTATTGAGAGTATTTTGGTAATTTTTATAAATGTATAGGGGTGATTTAGTAGCTTGGAACGGGTTGTTCCGGAATTGGAACAAACAGTTTCAAACTACGAAAATGAATGCGAGTTAGTAGCCCAGAACGGGCCGTTCTCAAGTTGGAACGGGCCGTTCCGGACTATTAAAACTGCCTTTAACCCTAAACGGGAACCGGCTTGGAACGGGCCATTTCCAAAATATGGTCGTTGTGAGTAATAAATGCACACCAAAACGGGCCGTTCTGGTTTGAGAACGGGCCGTTCTGGATGTGATTTTTACCCACGATTTAAGGGTCCAGAACGAGCGTTCCAGATTTGGAACGGCCCGTTCCAGCGAAGCCTAATGCCTATAAATTGAGCTCTCTGCCACTCTCAAAAAGCACACCTCTCATTTTCTGATTTCTTTTCTTCTGCTCTCTCTTCTTTCCCTCTACTTTCTGCTTCAGACCGAGGGGAACCCAACGAGGGAGACCAACCAGATCTTGTGTAGGTTCATCTTCTACATATCAAGGTACGAGAGAAAATGAGATTATTTATATGTAGAGTTACATGAGGGAATTGGGTAGAGGAAGAGCCCTTAGAATTATGAGTAATTTTATAATTATTTCTGTTTGGAGAATTATTGGTCTTATGTGATTCTGTATGTATTTAGGACTATGAATATATGATTAATTTGTAAAAATGATGCTCTGGGAGAGAGAACGAAATTATAGAAAAGTGCTTATAAGTTAGGTTTTGGAAAAATTGGATTATTTCTGTTTGAGGAATTAATGATCCCATTAGATTCTGTATCTGTTGAGGATTAGAAATATATATTTAATTTGTAAGAATGATGATCTGGGAGAGAGAAAGAAGTTGTAGAAAAGTGTCTATGAGTTAGGTTTTGGAATAATTGGGGGGGTTTTACTATTTATGTTAAGATTATATTAAATTGATAATTCCATTAATTATTATATTAATTTATGAATGTTATTTCTATATTACTTGATAAAAATTGATGATTTAAATGTGAATTGCTTGAGGTGTATGAAACCATTATTTTGGACTTATCTGATGTGCGTATGGAATTGAACTATGAGATGTTGTGTGGAATGTGAATGAGATGTGATTGTGGTTCTTCACACCTATGACCAGGGGTAAGCATGGGTCGAGATTGTTACATGGGTATCGTGACCTTGGTTAACATGTCAGGGGGAGCACGACCCTAGGTTAGGGGTAACGTGACCTTGGCACAGTGTTATATCAAGGGGGAGCACGACCTTGGATTGTTATGTGGGTATCGTGACCTTGAATAACATGTCGGGGGTGAGCACGACCTTGGGCTAGATATGCTACATGGGATTCATGACCTTTGGCACAGTATTATATCAGGGGTGAGCACGACCTTGGATTGTTAAATAGGTAGCGTGACCTTGGCATAGTGTGAAGTGCAAGATTTGTGATGATTGGTGTGATTGAGAATTATGACGTGATGACGATGCATGATTGATTGAAATACGATATGTTGAAATATTTATGAATATTAAGTTATAATGAGATAATATGTTGTGTTTTCTTATGTGCTATATATATAGATGTTTTCTTTTCTTACCGTACAAATTGTGGATGTTTTAGGTGAGTAAGATCCGGCTACGAGTGGCATCTAGAATGCAGTTGAATTGTGGGTATGCTCTGATATTGTGACATCGGGGTAAAGGATTTTAGGACATAGATTTTTATATGGATTTGGAATTGTAAATATTATTTTTGAAAACAATTTGTAAACTCTTGCATTTCATTTTCTAATTTTTTATTATTGTGGTTATTGAAGAATAATTTGGAAAGATTCTCATGTGAACCCTTTTACCGAAATTAAAAAAAAAATTATTTGTAAGTTTTCATTATTACAATATATGTGTTGGGGTAGTAAGGGTGTCACATTTAGTGGTATCAGAGCAGGTCGATCCAATCGGCCGTGAGTTATGAGTCTACTATGCTTGTTTGGTAGATGAATGATGTAATGAATTGATTGTTGAACTTATTGATGTGCTAGTGAAATGATTGATTAAGTTTGCTGTTTACTTACAGTATAATTGTTAACTTTTCTAGAGATCAGAAAAGTAATGGCAGGAGGTAGGAATGATCGTGCAATCGCTGATGCTCTACAAGCGATGGCTCAGGCTCTTGGTAATTTGAACCAACGACCAGAGATAGATTGGTTGGAGAGATTCCAGCGAAATAATCCATCTAGCTTCCGTGGGGGTTATAATCTTGATGGAGCTGCTGACTGGATATTCAAAGTTGAAAAGATATTCCAAGCTATGGGATATCCTTTGGCACAGAAGGTGACTTTGGCTGCCTTCATGCTTTTTAGAGAGGCTGGCATCTGGTGGCAAGGTGCTTTGCAAAGAATGATAGTTGCGGGTACGCAAGTGAACTGGGAGAATTTCAAGCGGCTATTCTTAGAGAAATACTTTCCCTGAGATGTGAGACATAAGAAACAGGTGGAATTCCTTGAATTGAAGCAAGGAGAGGATTTTGTGGCTGAGTATGTGACTAAGTTTGAAGACTTGGTTAGATTCTGTCCTATGTATGATGGCGTGGGCAATGAGGAGGAAAAATGTGTGAAGTTTGTGAATGGTCTTCGCCTTGAGATTAAACAAGTTTTCAATTATCAAGAGATCACTCACTATCATGAATTGGTAAACAAGTGCCGAGTATATGATGAGGACAACCGTGCTAGGGTAACTCATTATAAGAGTTGAGGACCCATGAGGAATAATAAGTTTGGTTCATCTATTAAGAGTAAACCTTACACCAAGTTTGCTGGGGACTCAAATTCTAAGGTGAATAATCAAGGTTCTGTGCAACAAAGGAGGCAAGCTCCAATGGCTAGCCAAACTTATAGAGGGGGAAGTGTGGGTTCTGTTCCACACAACAACTGCTACAACTGTGGGGAGCCAGGTCATAGGGCATATGAGTGTTCGTTGCCCAGAGTAATAACATGCTTCAACTGTCAAGAGAAGGGACACAGAGCTTGTGATTTCCCCAAGAACAAGACAACAGAGGTTGGAGCGAGTGCTAGCAAACCTAGAGCGTCAGGAAGGG